GGTCCTTAGTCAACACGATGAAAAGACATGGGCAAATTTAGATTTTCGCGAAAATCAGGGGTGATTATTTACCAATTTTTTATGGAAGTATAATGAGTAGGTACGGAACCCTCACCGTACGAGTTTGCCGTAGCGTAGCGTAGCGTTCACCGTAGCGTTTGACCGATTTTTTTTAAGTTATAATTCTATTAGTACGTTTGGAAAGTGTGTGTGTACTTATGTACACGCGTTAGAAGTTATACTTCTTTGGCGTAACAAGATAAAAATCTTTTCAAAAATTTTATCTTTCGCCTTATTCTACGTTTGTAGAAAAAACGACACAAAAAATAGAAAAAAGTTATTTAATACATTGAAAGTTTTATTATAACGCATTATCCAGTAAAATAACGTTTATTTAAATATCACAAAATAAATATCGTGAATACGGTTGTCAGTTCTCACGCAAATATACGTAGATGTCTAGCTAACTTCAGGGTGTCGGTATTTCGTGACGGTGTGCGCGCGCATCGTAAAAATTTACTTTCATCATTTTTCCACAACGCGCCAAAAGAAGTTTAACTTCAAATAATATGAGAGTAAAATTTTTACGGTGGGCGCGCACTCCGACAGTAAAATCGGACATATTGGAGTAATAGAAACGACCAGCTTGCGATATTTTACACTGCAAATAACATCATATTATTTGATGGAGTGCAAAACGTACTGGCGCCGGATTTCTAACGCAGTCAGAAATATATACAAACTGGAAAAAGACCGTGTTCATCACACACTATCTTTCCAGTAGTGGGGATCGAATCCACACCCTCTGGCGCCAGAGGCAAATGAACTATCCACTACGCCAATGATAATTTGACCATGGCGATGTCTTCTATACACAATAGTATTAGGGACTGTTTCACAATAAAATGAAAAAACAAAAGCTATATATATATATATAGCTTTTGTTTTTTCATTATATATATTTATGTATATATATATATATACATATATATATATATATATATATATATATATATATATATATATATATATATATTTTGTATAGATAGATAGATAGTATAATATAACTGATATCCATACTGCGCGGCGTTTAAAAATTATTCCGCTTTACATTATTTATGATATCCGGGTATAAGTGAATGTGACAGATGAAATAAAACATGTGATACGGAAAGAGATAGTCTAGAGAGAAGAGTCTATAGAATTTCGATCTAATCACAATAAGATTTAACATTGAATATAAATAAGATAGATTCGTAACGCACGTAAATAATATGTACGCAGTGTATGCAAAGAAACAAGTCATTAGAAGAAAATATTTATACAAAAGCCCTGATCATTTCTTAAGAAAAATCTTCTATCTTTAAAATTGTTATGTATGCATATAGGTTATAATAATAGGCCTCCGTTTATATAAAAACCTTGTATTCCATTTCGTCTTAGGTTCGTCTTGAGGTTATTTTATAGGGAAAATAAGAGCAAATTTGTCCCAAAACTACAGCTCTGTCAGTTTGCATTAACGTCAAAGAAGAGGAAGCAACGTTAAGCTCTTAGTAGGTTAAGATTTAGAACAGTAGGTAGATAATAAATATTAGGCTTATTTTATTTTTTATTTTATAAAAAAAACGGGTGCGTGTACTTCTTTCTGTACGCGCGTGAGAAGTTAAGAAGTTATACTTCTTTGGGATAAAAAATAGTTTTAATTGCATGCAAATAATTTATTACAATAAAATAATAAAAAGACTGGAAAAGAATATAAATAACATTACATACATTCTTTATTGACAACTAATTGAGAACTGTAATGGGCGAATGTGATTGAGAATATGCTGCCATCTATAATAAGCAGTTTAAGGGGCAGCTTCAAAGTATAACTTCAAAACAAAACAATTATTTATTTGTCTCCTCTGTGTTTTTTTAACATTCATTCGACTATAATCCAACTTTAGCAAGTTGTTCTATTAAGCACAGTGAAGGTTGACCCCTATACAAAAAAAAATTGTCAATCCTTTTTTTATGGGGCAACATTATGCTTTTTTTAATGATATTATTCCGTTCTAGTTTTTTTTTGTATACTACGTAAAACATTTTATTAAAATTAACCAAGTATACTTTTTTAGTTTACTTTTTACTCTTTTTATTGTGAAAGTTGCCAAGCGAGCAGACGGTTCACCTGATGTTAAGAGAATACCGCCGCCCATGACATTTGCTCCACCCGAGGGTTCCAGATGCGTTGATAACCTTTTGAAAATTGGGCTCCGGCTCCGATATTCTGTCAGGTCGTGGTACTTACCTGGATGAGCCTGCCCATTCGTGCAACAACCGAGGCTGCTGCGTGGCCCTACCACCGTGTACTTAATTAACTTAATGCTTTTGCGGTGGAATTAGTTTATCCGCTGTTAATTATTCTATTGTGATTCTATAATAGGATAAGGATTAGAGGTAGATAGCAAACAATGAGTTCTTTGTCAAAACATAACTGTTACATAGTTTGGTTACTTAAATCTGCTGAAATTATTACATTAATTAAGGTAAAAGTTTACCGCAATTTGAATATAACCTGTTAATCACATTGGCCTTAAATACTGAAAATGCTTTCTGAACAGTGATGAGGGTTCAATTGTTTGTTACTTTAGAAGTAACAAAAGACCGAACACAATGTAATGTTTCTAACGATACTATGAAAACTTTGCCTAGGGTTTCTTCATCATTTTACGGTTCTGTAAAATAATTGCATTGGAAGGTTTTACAGAATGTCCTGATGAGACCTGACCACGGTTACATTATTTTAAATGATTTAGTTATAACAGATATTTCTACCTTTATACGTATACGAACGAAAATAAATATTCATTTACTGTGTTAAATTAGTATACATGTAATAAATATGATATATAATAAAAAATTGATTACTCATGCATATTTATTTAATTAAGACACCTATGTACACCACAAGTAAATGATGGGATAGCAGACACGACATGGGTAAACTTAAAAAAATTTAATAATTAAATAAATCATCTTTGTTACAGAAAAAGGAAGCGGATTATCAAGCAGTATGAAATCAACATACCTGCAATTATCTCTGACAGTCACTCGAACGTGAAGAGCGAATACAAAACCATCATTATGGAAGCTTACTGCGTGCCTGGTGGTCAAAATTTCCAGCACGTCTATGTGAAAGTGCATGGATATATAGCACTTATAATTTGCCTACTTGGCTCCGCGGCCAATTCCTTTAATATTGCTGTATTAAGCAGGAAAGAAATGGTTTCTTCTACGAATTCCATACTCACTGCTCTCGCCGTCGCTGACCTCCTGGTGATGCTTGATTATATACCATTTGCTCTGCACATTTATACAACAATTGGATCGGAGCTGCATCGAAACTCATATGCCTGGGCGGTCTTTGTATATTTCCATTCAATATTTAGTCAGACCTTTCATACAATTTCAATCTGGCTGACAATTACTCTGGCCGTGTGGCGATTCATAGCTATCAAGTTTCCTCAGAAGAATAAGATCTTGTGCAATAAAAGAAACACGAAATTTGCGATAGCAATGGCGTATTTTGTATGTCCGATAATGTGTCTTCCCATCTATTTTGCCATGAATATACAAGAAATACCAGAAAAATCTAGCAATAATACAAATAATAACACTTTTGAACTTAATAACATTTCTAAGAATATGACAACAAGATATGACCCAAAATACGCTATTTCTATGACAGACAACGAACATTTATTGACTGCCATATTTTGGATTTATAGTGTATTTTTGAAGCTTATTCCATGTGTAGTGCTATCAATTTTAAGTGTGTGTCTTATTTTAAAAATGAAGTCTAGTGATCGAAGGAGACAGAAACTGTTGAAAAAATCTGCCCTTTCAACAAATGAGGTAATCTAATGTTATCTTTAGTATTTAGAGTTTAGTTAGGGATAGCAGTGTTGCTCATATAGTTAAATTATAATAGAGTTCCATTTACTTATTATAGAAAGAAATCTAAATATTATCAACTGTTTAAAGTGTAATTTTATTCACAAATATTTCTTCTAAAGAGCCTACAACGTAAATAAGTCCTTTTTATGTTATGAAAAACGTCCTAGCTTGCTTATTAACTATAATAAGGTATCAGATGGAGCGGAAATAACGTTTCCTCAATATGTTTTCTTTATGGCTATTATTTACTCGTTTAACGTTATAAATTGACAATACACATTTAAGCGCCATTTCATTTTTCATAGTTTTAGTTGAAGTTAAAATAACACTATGGGACTAAATATTATTATCATTTCAATGATGACTTTTCGCGTTTCAGGAAAGGCTGAAAATGAAATTAAATGGCGTTTTCGCAAATTGTGTGCGAAAGTCATTTTATTAAACTTTTATTAGGAATTTTGAATTCTGTATGTGAAACCGATAAAAATCGATAAACGATAAAATCCGTAAATTTGTTTAATTAAAGTGTATAATACTCGCGTAAATCAAAGAAGTTATTACTTTAGAACGATTCCGGAAAGTCATTTTGCTTGAACAGTAAAAAACATTGTGAGTTTTGTTTACCATTTTTAATGTCGTAAAAAATTGTTAGTGTTGTCCAGATTAAAATAAATATTTGTCATCATCCCCTATTTTTATGGGTGACATATTGAAATATGTACATTTACATATGTATTATATCACAAATTTAATGACACTTAAATGTTGAGGGTCAAAAATCTTTAGTATTTGACTTTTAAGTACACCAAGGAATTATTTGTACATACATTAGAGAGAAACATTAGTGCCTTTCGGCAGTCATGTAAAAAGGAAAACTAAATAAAAAATTGTTCGATGAAAACGAAAATAATCTTTCGTAATAATATGATGTTGGAGATTAAATAAATTATGATTAATTTACAACGTAGGGTGAAAACGCACGACTGAATGACGATTCCGGAGGCGGAAAGAGAGCTGGTGGAGGTGGCAGTGGTGGCAGAACAGATCGTACAACACGGATGCTTGTGGCGTTGTTGGGTCTCTTCCTAGCAACAGAGCTGCCACAGGCTTTGTTTGGTCTATTAACTGCAATCGCACCTCAACTTTTTCAACAATGCTATTATGCTTTCGGTAAGACGTTAACTGAACACATTATACGGTTAAAGTTTAATTTTCAACGTATAAGTGTTATAATAACCGGCTTTGGGATATACAAGAATCTTCTTGTCATTAATAGTTATTTTACTTAACAAACACTAAAATATCTTCATAATTTTTCGATTTTATGGCCATATTGAATCACTATTGCACTATTATTGCATGTCACTGTTTGTCGAAGGACCGTATAATCTATACTGACATATATCCGTCAAACGGTATCAATGCGGATGACTGATCTTAATCCCTCCTATCCCTACTACTATATTATAAATGTGAATGTAAGTTTGTTTACAAAGCTTTCACGCCAAATCTACTCAACCGATTATCATGAAACTTTGTACACATATTCTTAGAGGTTAAAAACATGTTTAAGGGCTTCATCGCGAGCGAAGCCGCGGGCACAGCTAGTATATAATAAAGGAAGGATTAAATATCTATTGTTGATATTCCCAGGTGAGGTGATGGATCTGATGGCGCTTGTGGGCTCCGCCGTGAACTTCGTTCTGTATTGCAGCATGAGTCGTCAATTCCGCAATACTTTCAGACGCTTAGCGCATAAAATCCTGCCACTAGCACGCCGTACTTCAGAATTTGGCAACGTTAGAAAAGCATAGTGCTTACAATCTGGCACTTCTACTTCTGTAACATATCTTTAAATTGTTCTCAAGTCAATCTTAGTTACCACAATAAGTTTTCTGATCTACACTAACAGTATTTAATAACCTTCATTAATAGTTTATATCCAGTTGTATAAGTTTTCATTAGAGTAGTTAAAAACGTACTACGGTGCGTTTTTGTAAATATTTTATAAATTAAGATTATTCGAATATATCAAAAGCTCCCTATAAAAGATAACTCGAACTACGAGTAATCTTTTATAGAGAGCTTTTGATATGTATTAACAATGCTTGATTAATTTTGCAGTTAAGAAACATTGTTTGTACGCTTTATTTAAATGATAATAGTTATGATTATTGTTTCGAATGATATACACTAATATATATTGCCATATCCGAGTAAGGAACTTTACTATAATATAACTATACTATAAGGCAACGTATGTGGAACACTGTTTACTAATGTAGAAATAAAAAATAAAATTTTATGTTTATATTAAGTTTATGGGTAGCCTTTGAGGTAGTGTAAATATAGCTATAAGCGTAATAATATTTAGGGAACGAGAATAAATAAATAAGTTTTTATAAAAATGTCTCGCAGACACCTACATACGGATTCTTTCATGTTTACAAAAAAAATATATGTACGTATTTGTGTAAATAGTTTACAATACTGTATATATATATATAGAGTTTTGGAACAAGAGCACAGTTCAAGAGTTCTTCGAGCTCGAACCTAAATTCAAGACGATTGTAAATAAAAATATGAACTATACATGTTTATTATTATGAAAACATATGTTAATATAAAATAACATATACAAGATATATATGATACTTAACGTGCGCTGTATTATGAATATTAACACAGTGGGGAGCTATCCGGCTGAGAAATTAAAAAAAAAAAGTATTTTGTAGACGTCGTTAAACACTAATCGAGAATTGGTGTAACATACTTTCGCCTTACTGTGGGACACTAAGGTTTTTTTTTCGTATAACTGATGTTACGCTTTCAGTCCTTAGACTATTAAAGTTTCATCGAACGCAGAACCCACGGGTTTGAGGCCTTCCTCAGTGGGTACGCATGCGTGCGTTAATTATGACATATCGATGGCCAAGTGCTAGGCTGCTCGGTAACCTTTCTTCCCCATCGGTTATTGGCTTAACGAGCTATATTGACGGCCATCACCACTTCAGCTTCTTCTGAGTCAATAGAGAGCAATCTTCTGAGCTATGTCATTCACCTATGTGTTATGTTTGTTCTTCTGCGGATATTATAGCATCGCCCCCTCCATAGCGACCATAAGCTTCATTATACGGCCAGCAGTGAAGGATCTCGTCTCAGTTCCATAAGTCATCACTGGCAACACACATTGATGGTAGACTTGAGTTTTCAAACATTGAGGGATATTCGAAGAAAAGATTTGCCAAAGTTGTAACTGTGGTAACTGTGGTAGGGCCACGCAACAGTTTTCACTGTTGCACGAATAAGCAGGTCCGTCCGGTTAGTTACCACGACCTCACAGAAGACCGGCGTAAAGTAGAAGTGTTACATTTATGCGTTTCGTCTGGTGAGTGAGAAAGCCGGGGCCCACTTTATTTAAAGGTGGCAACGCATTTGCAACCCTACGGGTGTTGCAAATATCTATGGGCGGCAGTTATTACTTAACATCAGGTAAACCGCCAGCTCGTTTGCCACTTTTTCACATTAAAAAAAAAGTATCCCGAATGATATAGGTGGTCCGGATCGTGCTTCGTGGCAGTCTGTGGGTGAGGCCTATGATTTATGATGACGATGATAATGTTGTAAAGTTTTTTTTCACGTCTTTTAGTGTTCATCATGAACTGTTTGTGTCAAGTTGTAATGCTCTATGAATAATTATTATACTTGAAATAATTATCTTCAATATCTATCGCTTAAACGAAGCTATGAACGGAGCGGGCTCTACTTTGATTATAATGAAAAGAATTTTTGCCTAAATTAACATAATTTACTAAGGGTTCATTAAATTAATTTCAAGTTTAAGGGTCTCGTTGTTTAAAACCCGTTGTGTTTTTGTTGGTACGATAGGAATAAATTTATCACGATGATTATATAAATCATCCTTTAAAGAGTGTGGTAACAGTTTTACTTGTTTATTAGTCTTTGAATGAAATTTCGCATATGTTTATAATGTACCATAATTATTATTGTGTTTAGGAAGAAAGTAGTTAAATAAATACTTTCTTCAGTAGTAATTAGATAGCGGTCAAAAACGTGAAAGCTCACACAAAGTTTCCAAAAATATTTATTAAATAAATGTATAATAAATAAATAATAATTATCAATAAATGTTAATGATAAATATATATTAAATATTTATTTAATTATAAAAATTAATAAACCTTAACATATTTATAATGTGGGATATTTTTATATAAGTTTTTTTAATGTACGAAAGTGGTAAGCGGCCATAGACATATACAACAGGGGCTGTAGATGCGTTGCCATCTTTTAATTAAGTGGGCCCCGACTACCTTACTATAGCAGGCGAAACACAGAATATCAGTACTTTACGCTGGTCTTCTGTGAAGTCGTGGTACTTTTCCAAACGGTCCTGCCCATTCGTGTTACAGAGAAGACTATTGCGTGGCCCTACCACAGTTAAGTTTGAAGTTATGTTTAGCATTTGTAAGTCTCATTTTTATTCCTTTTTACAAAAGTATAAATTCCCTTTTTACAGAAACATTGAAAGACATGTTTTTGAGTTCACTCTAAGAAAAAGTAATTTTAAGAAAAATATTTTGAAAATCTTTACACTTTTGAAAATCTTTAATCAAAACAATTCATCGTAGTCTTAGATGTTCTGTTGTTTAAGCCGAAAACTTTCTGTTTTGAAACACATGTTCTTAAAGAAGGATTTTAATACTGCATATGGCATTACGAAAATAAAATATTTAAATATCAATATTATATGGAGACTAATAGTGAAATATATTATATTGTAAATTTTGTAGTTTTACTTATGCAATTGAACCATGTTGTAAATACAAATGTAAAGCCAGTATTAGATGAAGTGATTTTCGAATAAAAGTGATTTTTCATAAAAGCAGCATGTGATAAGGCAGCAATTGAAATTAACGAGTTCGTTGGTGCCGCTACCGGCATTTTAACTCGGGTTTTTCGAGTATAATTAATTAAAAGCGTACGCTCACACTGAGCTATCTAGACAGGGATGACAAAGTTCTGCATTAAATAAATAAATAATATATATATATATTTGCCTATATAATTTATTTAAATGAAAGCTATTAATATACAGTAAAAATTTAAAAAAGAAGAAGAAGCATCACTTTCTTACTAAACTTAGAAATAAAATTTAAAAAAGTATCTTTTCAAATAGTTCGATGATGTTTATTATACTTCTGAAATTACTTTAAAAAAGGCCGTGGAACGCTTTTTATTTCATATCGCACATAAGTTTTTGGGCTTTCTGTTTAATTGAACGTAAAAGTATCGTCACTTGACTCGAAGAACAATTATGGACCCAAGAGATGATTCAAAGATCGACTTAAAAACTCGATCTGTGCATTAGGATGTAAAATTTACATTTCATACAAAGTATGAACACCACAGCACTATAGTACTATTTTGATGACATGACCCATTTTCTGTTTCCTATTAGTCGTAGTTGTAGTAGTATCAGCCTATACATGTCCCACAGCTGTGCAAAGGCCTACTACTATGGCCTACGTACTATGTATATTTGACACTGTATTGAATATTTCCTTTAATTATTTACAGAAAATAAATTTATACACGTACGTTTATTATAATTAACATTCATTTAATTAATTTTTGCCGTTATAGCTCAGTGTCTGGGCGCTTGCTTTTAATTCAATACATTCGAGCAACAAATACAATTTTAAGTGCTGGAAGCTACATAATTTCGATACAATAAAAAAAAAATAATTAAATATTTGAAATCTGCAAATCCGTAGTAGGGTCGCGTGGTGGACTTTGCCCTAATACCCTTTGTACAGAGGCCTTTTCCCAGCAGTAGCATATATTTACGCTGTTCTTTACTTTTACATTTATTAAGAGTTTTTTGCCCTAATACCCTTTGTACAGAGGCCTTTTCCCAGCAGTAGCATATATTTACGCTGTTCTTTACTTTTACATTTATTAAGAGTTTTTTGTAAACGTACATTTTTTAGTAAACAAACCAAAGTATAAAACTATTACACAAAGTACACCCGCGTTCCGGGGCGGTTCTCACCGCTCCCAGCCACCGATTAGCTAATTGCACAGTCGACGGCCATGGGGGTTTCGGTCCGAACCGCGACCTCAATGGCCCTTAGATGACACACCATAGTTAAACGCACGCATGAGCACATGCGCGGCTCTACCCACAGCGGAGGGCCCAAACCCGTGGGTTCTGGCTAGCCCACCAGTTCTGCGTCAGATGAAACTTTAATAGTCTCGGAACTGAAAGCAAAAACATCAGATACGAGATAAAACTATTGCGAGTAAAAATACTGAAATTTAATATTAAGCTTATAAATCCTAGAACTGAACCAATAAACACTTAAGATTTATGGCAGAGCCTTGGGGAAACTAATTTAGATTTTTTTTACCTTAGCAGTGTTTTATTTATAACTTTGAGATATAGATATTATACTTTTTTTGTGGTACAAATCTTGATCGAAGAATTACTTTAATTATCTCAAAGCAATAAATTAAAAAGGATTTATTTTATGAGGTCAGAATTTTACATTCGTTCGTTAATATAATTAATCCGTGCTATTTGTATTCTTATATAATATACAGTCCAGTCCTTAATTTATAGTTTATCGTTAGTTATTATAATTAGAAAATGAGCGTACCATGTCAATCATCATTTGCAATTAACCATTTTTGCTATAAGTACAAATTTCTCCTAACGGAACATATTTGGCAATTCTTCACTATTTTAAGGTGAACTAATGCCGTATGACATAGTTCGGCGGACTTA